TGCTTAGGGATTGTGCTCTCCTGTTTGTACTGCTTGGTTTTGTATCAACTCTGAAGCCCATGTGGCCTTCCTGTGATCCTGAGAGAAATGCCTGATTGCACTTCTTGTCTTTTGCAGTAGGAAGTCTGTGAGATACCCTGATGGCTGTGCCTCAGTTCACCTAAGTAAGATCTTTACAGAATGCCTACAGACATACACTACATGCCTGGATGTTTGCTGTTAGAGCATGAGTGTGAAGATACAAAGGCTGTTGGGAGTCGTGGAGGGCTGTTTTGGGTAGAGGGAACCAAACCTAGTGCATTCTTATCCATACTGCATTTGGGAGAGGTCCACAGGGTTTTTTTCAGTGCAACATGTATCTGTGATCACCATGTACATGACCATGGGTCAGCAGGTACTGGCCGCCACTAAGATCAGATGACATTTCTAGTTTCAAATGAGACACTGTGATTGCTGTCCACAGTTTTCTCATTGGAATCAGTCTCACCAAACAAGCACTCGGGTAGCTTGGTTAATTGAGTAGCAAAAAAAAAAAAAAAGAAGAAAAAAAAACCCTAAAATTAAGTTGCTTAAGAACTGGTGGGTTTTTTTGAGAGCTTGGGATTTCCATCACTTTTTGGTGGTCAGCAACACCTGCTAAGCAGAACCAGAAGGCTGCAGGCCCTGTGTGACGCTGTCAGTTTGAGTTGGAACATGCTACCTTGGCGTGCGTAACCCACCCATGAGAACAAGCCTCACTGCCCTGCAAACCCTGCCGAGCCTGCATTTTAATGCTTACCGTAATTCTTGGCCCACTGTCATTTTGGCAGCACTTGGACTACAGACATCAATTTAACACAATTGTTAAATTTAAGACACATACCATGTAGGATACATCAGTCATCAAGTCCTAGGCTAGAGGTCTGGATCTCAAGAGGTTATGTTGGTAGTCCTCATGATCAGAGAGTCAAACACACCCCATGCTACCCCACGTGATATTGTCCAGCTTATTCTTAACCTCCAGCCACAGAAGGAGCTCTGCACGTCCCATTCCACAGCAACAATGAAGTGAGCCACAGTGCCCCTGTTCTCAGAAGGTGTTGATCTGGGAATCAGGAGAACTAGGCATGCCTTCTCAGTTGTTTTGCTGACCCATTTGGTGACCTTTCCAGACTTCCCAGACTTACGAAGAAAGAAATCATGATATTGACTTGGCAAAGCACTTGGTTGAAAAGCACTTCTGATAAAGATCTACAGACTAAAAAGCCCCTAATATTATTAGCATTTAATAGCATTATCGATAATTTAAAATAGTCACTATTATGAAAATCAGATAATAACTCATTTTAACATGCTTGGAAAACAAAGCTGCATCTAATGATATTATTTTTTTCCCTTTGTGGAGGGAACAATTTATGGGACTGCTCCCCTTTCCTTGACACCCATAAGATTTGGGCTGCAGGTTGCTGGATGGTGAGGGAGGAAATCTGTGCTCAGTAGTATTGTTTAAGCCCATCTGTGTTGGACATTAGCAAGAAAGCAAACAGCTTACTAAACTTACCCTCTGATGGAGAACCTGTAGCAAACCATCTCCAGATAAAAGCCAGTGGACAGGGTGAGAGCACAAGGTCCTCATACACATAGTCCTTTGCCTTTCAGAGCTGGCAGGTTTGCATGGCTCTGGGGATCCTAGGGGTGTTTTTAGAAGGGAGGCTTCAAATGACTCCTTTTTTGACAGCAGACCACAATTACATGGGGAAAGTATAGTGGAGGTATTTGACTGCCAGGTGCTGAAGAGAAGACCTGCAGGAACACTTGTGTTTGCCTGGTGTGGGTTATTTAATCTGTAATGTCCTTTCACTTGACTCCCCTGCCCTCCTCTCCCCCAGCACACACGGAAGAATGGGGCTCTTGGGGACTTTAATCTCTTCCATGCAAGAATTTTGCCTCTGACATGTATGAGGAGTAGGAACAGGACTGCAGAAATAAATAAATACCAACATGATTAAAAACGAAAGTATGAAGTGTTATCAATGATATGCTGGAGAGAATAGAAGCATGCTATGCCAGAAATACCTTCAGGATCTGAACGGTATCAGGGGCTACACATCCTGATGTTAAGGGGGCAAAGCAGTAATGTACTATATAAACAGCAGTATCTGAGCCCGCAGCTGGATATTTCCTGTTTGATTAATAGAGTTGTTTTGAACTAGGACAGATCAGATGCAGGTCTGTGCAGGTAACCTGCCTCTGACAACAGGAACTGCCATGTTTTCTCTTGTTTTCATTATACAGCACACCTCCCACCCCCCTCCACCTTCCACCACGCTTTCTATGCTCACAGCTCTCTGAGAAGTTTTGACAACCTGCAGCCCATATGCCTTTGCTTAGAAGAGAAAGACAGCTGGATTGCCTGGATGCCCAGCAAAACTGTTGTGCAGCAAGGAGGCTGAGAGTTTGGTAATAGAGGAGGGCTCTCACCTTAAAAGCACAGCTCTTTTCCAGCATTTTTCCCATTTTTGACACTGATGCATTTGAAATACAACCACCTGATGCAGTGCTTTACTCCAGCAAGTAATTATCTGACAGCTCCTGAGTGCTCATTCTGAGCACTCATGCAACCATGTGTAGATGGAGAAGGAAACAACTCATTTGCATACAGAGAAAATATTTTGTCATCACCTGCTGTTCATCCTAATGAGCTTTTGCCAGACTCATTAGAATGATTCCAAGCTTCTTAATACCCACTGGGATTGCTTTATTATTTGATAGAGTCAACAGTTGGCATATGCCACAGTGTCTTCTTCTTCAGGTCCCTTGAAACCTCCAAATGCAGCTAAACAAAGGCAGTGAGTAACCAGTTATGTTTCTCTCCTCCCAGGATGTCTTAATGCTGACACCAGTGACTTGTAACTATCTCAGTTAGAGGGATCTCTTTATCAGCCCACTCCCACCGGCTTCTGGATGGAGCTGGCACCTTTTCATTAGGGACTAGCTTGTCTCTGTGTGGCTGAAAGCAAGGACCCTGAGGGTACCTGCTCCCTGCAGAGGACTGATGGGGATTTCTGTTTTTCTACTTCCCCTGCTAGTTTTAAAAATCTTGTTTCTAAACCCATTGATGATGTTCTTTTTCTCTCCTGTTACTCTATCAAAAAGCTACATAAACAGCGGGAAAGAGCCCTAATGCACAGATAGGGAAGAGATCAAAAATCAGATGTTGATTCTTTCACGTCAATAAGAAACTACAGAAGATTTGGGCATGGCCCAAATTTACATGGCCCTTTTTGTCTGTAAGCTTTCCATATGGGTTGGTGATCGTGGACAGAGTGCTATCAACTGCAATGAAAACAAGCCAAAAATACAGAGAAGTACTTTTCCTCTAGTCTGTCAGCTGTAATAATCTGAGGTGTTCCAATCACATTAGTGGGATATAATTGGTTTGGGTGTTACGTATAACAACATGAAGTTAAAAAAAATCCCAAAGTGTGACATTTAAGTTGACAGTGTCACTTTAAACAAACCCACTTCAGATGATTTTTGCTTTGGGAGTCTCCTTTTACAAAAAGACCTTGCCAAGAGCCAGAGTAAACATTATGTTAATCTTAGATCAGCCTTTAATTTCTCCTACTTCCTTTCCCTTCCCCTTTCCTTTCTATTTCCTTCCAAGACAACAATATTATAGACAATTTAAATCAGACATGTCCATAGCTGAACAAAATCACCAATAGAGGACAACGAGAATGGCAATAAACTCAGCATAGTAATTATTTCCCTGTCACACTAGCAATTACAAAAGCAAAGAAAGAACAACTAAGTGCTCTTAACCTGATATTGATCATTTAATTTTCTCATACCATATAATATTAAACAGGCTTATGCTACTACAGGGAACCCTGGCAACAATTAAGAGCAGACATGAAAAAGTCAGACTTATTGCAGGCTTGAGCAAAGGGGATAGTTCACTGTTTATGCCAATGGTAATAATTATGTCAAATGGAAATACTGACTTTAAAGACAGATTAATACCTAGACACAAATTCACCATTTCAGTGAGGCTCGTATCTGGCCCAGTTCCTGTCATGATTGCGTTCACGATACACACTGCTTACTCAGAGCTCTTGCAAGGCCAGCCTATTGGTCAATGGTTGGCATAGGCTAATTGGGAATTGCAGCTTCTGTCTACACAGTGAAGAATGAACTTGGCAACACATTAAGTCATGAGCGTTAAGACTCACATGCTTTTCATTTATGCCATGTGCTGAAACCTCTTCGTAGCTGATGCAGGAAGAGCCAAGTTTGAGGTGTTTGCATCTGGGCTGGTTTTAAACCTGAATCAGCTGTTGTTCAGTCCACAAGAGCATGTGCCCATTTTTAGATTTGTTTGCAAAACATAGGTGCTGGTTAGCTTTCTAACCTATCTGATGCCTAGCTGTTTCTTCTGGAGACTATTAATTTTCTATTAGGTCAAATCATATCTGCCAGTCCTGTGTGAATACTTCAAATATAGGAGGATATCTCAAAAGAAAATTGATACCTATGTTTAAGCAACTGAGTTGTACCTCAGCATTTGGCTCCCAGAATAGCTATTCAGTCACTGCTGACTGCACTGACTGAGATTTCAGTTGACTACATTGGATGCTTACACACCAGGCTAATCTGCAGACACCAAGTGTATGCTACTCTTTCCAACTCACTGGACACTGGAGTTATCCTGCAATAGTATGGTTGGCCTCCAGTTGCCTCTCCAGGTGGACATCTGCCTCCTAAAAGTGTTCTGCCATATATGTCAGGCCAGCCTGGGTACCTCAGCTATCTCATGACATCTCAGATGGCTCTTGGTATCTATGTGTGAGCAACTTAACTGACCTCATGGAGTATATAATTTCAACAAGTATCCAAACAAGATGACCTGCCAGTGCTGGCCTTGAGGCTCATACCGTGAGTGATAGACAAGTCTGCTTATGAGAACAAACTCAGACCTGTGTTTAATCAACAGCACAAATAAAACCACAAAGAGTCACCATGGGAGAAAGAATGGTGAACAGACCCCGCAGGGTGAGGTTTTCTTCTCCATGCTTTCATGGTGGGTGCAGTAGCGGCTCCTCAGATGTATTCTTGCTGGAAGAACTCTGTCAGATAGAGGAAGTACCGAATTTAAACCATATGTAGGGGCCCTGCACAATGCAATCCCATTTACAGCTCCATTAATTTTAGTTTCTGTTATTTCATTTGTACCACTTTAATCTCTCCAGTCAAATTATCGTTGAAGTCCTACCCAAATTAGCAGAAGGCTGAATTTTTCCTTTCCTGATTTATGTCAAGGAAGACAGTCCTGATTCAGACAGGTTAAGAAACTCTACCTCAAACCTTCTGCTACTCTGCAAAACTTTAAAGAGAGTTCAGAATGTTTGGATAGGTTTGCTTTTGTTTCCATTTCCTGAGGGCAGCTGGAGTTGTTGGCGCTTGCAGTATTTCTGACCATCCCCAAATCCTCTAGCCACTGAAGGGAAGGAAGGAGAGAGACAGGTCAGATAGACATTTGCTCCAGGAAAGGATCATTAATGAAAAAGAAATGGATTCTAGCGATGAACACACGGTCTTTTAGGAGGTAAGCATGGAAAAGTGTGATACTGAAATTTCTTATTACTCCTTTTATTTTTCCTAGTCTCTATATAGATCCCACCATTGGAATTCCATGGTGTTCATACTAACCTAAAACCAAAGCCAGAAGAATAAAAGTTGTCAGTTGCACAAAACATGGACAGATGTTATAGAAAACATAGAAATAGAAAAACATAAGAATGGAAAAGCATGCCTTTTAGGAATTCCTGCAAATGCAGATACTGCTTGTGTTAAAAAAGGAAAAAAGTGGAAATATTTTTTCATTTAAATTGGAATTTGGTTTATTTAAAAAAATTAGCCTATTTAAAGCTGCAGCCTAACTTTGCTACATTTAATCAAACAATTTGAGTTACAGTGAAAGAACACGTTTTTGTACTAAGCATTCTAACTTCAGTTACTAAGTTTTGAGGAAAGGTGAAGAATGCTGCATTTGTCAAAGTCATTGACTAAGCAGAATCTATGGGTGTGCTCAACAGGCTTTTAAAGCAAAACTGTTTGCTTTGTTTGTTCAGCTCAGGTGTCCTCCACATTATCTGTGTACTGCAATGAGCATGTTCTGGATCACAATAATAATAATGATAACAATGACAGTGAAAGATGCTACCATAATGTGTCCTCCAGAAGAGAGCACACCCTGGAGCGTATGGCACAGGAAACTTGGGCATCTCAGGCTGGGCCCCAAAGAGTTTATTAGCTTAGGCTCAGCACTGTTCAAACACAGTTATACACCTCCCAAACACTCCCTGACCTTAAAATCCTAATGCTGTCTTCACATATCACTGTACCTGAACTGATAAATCACACTGCACTAAGCCAGCTCAGGCTCATTGCATAGTTAATATGCAGACCAGATACTGACCACGGGTATTTGACAGATGAATGAAGTTCAGTTCAATATCTTATTCACTTCCAGCTGAGAGTATATTTAAGAGTTGGAGAACTAGGAGAACTTTTTTCCCTCTTCTAGTCTCTGGGGTAAGAGGATGAGCCATATTCATCCAAAATCTTGAAAATCCAGACAACCAGATCAGTTCAATTGCTTCTTCTTCACAAATGCATCCTTTTAAAATGAATGTATTTTAAGAATTCTGTCCTTTTCACTTTTCATTTAATTCTAACTTCTGCGGGAATAGAATCTGACACAAACTGAATAATAAAAATTCCTGCTCTAATAAAAATGATAAAAGTTACATTTCCAAATCAACATATGTTATGCTACATAACTGTTTAAATCAGGAGCCTCTCATGCTGTGTATTCTCTAGTAACTCTTATGCTTCTGGTTAACATTTACAAAAAGAACAAAATGTTTTTTAAAAGAGCCATGCCCTATTTAAGATATGTAATTTAGGATTTACTAAGCAATGAGAATATACGCTCCTTAAAGAAAACATACAAACATGAAAGCAAAACAAGATTAAAACAACTACTCTAAATCCAGGTTCCTGATGATTTAAAACATACCCACAGTCATATATTTTATTCTAAATCTATTAATTCTGAAAGCCATCCACATAGGTTTAGTCACAGAATTTCTTAATGCTACCTTACTGTGAGCCATGGATAGTCTTGTTATCCTTGAACATCTCTATTACCCATCACTGTCAGCCTGCTCCTTGGAGAAAACTATCTCCATCCATACGACATTTCAAGAAAGAAGGCTCCCTACAGGCTCCTCATTGGCCAGTAAGTCAATACTCTCTGCCTCCCAGTTCAACTATTCTACACAACAGAAGTATAGGAGAGCCTCTGATGAGACTCTCCATTTCAGTTGTCCCTTTCTATTCTGTCCAGGAAAAAAAAAAAAAAAGAAGTCAAAGCAACCCCACATGAGATCACTCATGCTTTCTTCCAGAAGAGACATTTAAGCTCCACCTAAAGCTTATTATTAGGATTATACTGTTGCTTTATGCAAGGAAATTCTCTCACTGTAACCCATTATCTGATCTCACCCTCCTTGAATATGATAAAAGCCCTTGAGAAGGGCTGGTCCTATCTCTGTCTGAACCCTGCAAAGATCCTGGACTTCTTCCAGTTCGACATCTAGCTGGCATGTAAAACGGAAACAGCACTAGTGACAGTGATGAATGATTTGCTCTTGGCTGTTGCCTGCTTTCACACTGCTGGATATCCCTACAGCATTTGACTGCATAAACCATGAAATTCTTTTGTCCACATTAAGGATGTTTGGTCAGCATTACCAGATCTAAATAACAATCTCTACAGAGCAAACTGGTGAACTTGTGCCCAAAGTAAGCAGAGAAAATGCAGAGTAAGTTCATTTGTTGACTGAACTCACCTCTCTGTGAGGACTATGGCAATCACAGTTGTGAAAATATATAAACTCAATTAATAAAAAAAAGGAGAACTTATACTTTTGGCAGCTACTGTATAGCTTACTTGTTACGTAATTGAAATTGTACAAGCAATTAAAGGGCAATTATAATCAGCAAGTGAGAGAGTTGTGGAAAAATGAGATGTGGAAAGACAGCAAGGCTACATACAATTCACTCTGTCTTAAGCAGTCACTTGTCTCAGTGGTTCCGAACTACAGTGCAGTGCCTGGGGGGAAGATAAACCACCAGCTCTCCAAACCAGGTGAGTTTCAGGGATGTGGACACCTGGAAACCCTCAGATGCAGCAGCCAGAGGAGGTCAGAGCTGCACTACAAGGACCTCACCTTCTCAGGAGTGGCCACAGCTTCCTCAAAACCCAAAGTTAATGCCAGTTGTTCCCAAGCTACTCTCCCCCCGTTTCTGTACCAGGCTGTCCCTTTCTGATCCCCCTTCACCATGCCATGGAGCAAGGAGAGCTCTTGAACCAGAGCTCTCCCTCAAAGGCTGTGCTGTATTTATAAACCCATCTGATGTTTATCACAACACAAGTCCACGCACACAAGTCAACTTTCCTAAAAAGCTTTCCTATTTTTAGGAAAGGAGAGCAAACAAGCAAACAGATAAAAAACCCGTCCCCTTTCTGCATGTAATACTTTTTTATCTGCTTGCCATCACACATAATTTGGAGCCTCAGAAAGCCTCATCAAAGAGATGGATCGTCTGCATGTCAGACTTGCCTCTCCACTGCATGAGCTGTGTGTTTGTCCTCACAGTCGGCAACATGGCAGAGAGGGCTATACCCAAATGTAGCCCGATGCAAGCACGTCACCTTCCCTGCAGGGCCAGAAAAATGCCGTATGACCTATGTATGTCCCCTTGCAAACAAGGGTAGGGAGCTGGGAAAGCCTTCCAATACCAAACAGTGAAAATCAGAGCAGGAGAAGGAATCCGAGCTTGTATAAATGCTAGTGGGTTTTTTATACCCTGCACATCTCATGTTACAGGCTCATGTTCATCAGTAGCTCGAGGCAGCCATTTTAATGAGAAAAACTAGGCAAAGTTTAGGGAAGACATAGAGAAAGGGGTGCATGTGTGTGCATGCTTTTACCAGTGCTGTTGCCGACAAACTGAGTTGATAAAGTACATTTCTTGCTTGGGGGGACCCCTCAATTCTCCCCCTTTTGCCACTGCAGAAAGAAAACATAAGATGTGTCTACAAAGCCACAATAAAAACATGCTAATATGTCAGGGGGCCTTTTATTGCACTTCAGATTCTGAGAATCTGCCTTCAAACATCTTTCAGTAACTTCAGCATGAAGGTTCCCAGATGAGTTACCCTAGATAACACTGGAAGGAGTTAAGGATGAAAAAACCCAGATGCAACCCCAGCTTTAAACCTGCCTGTTTAATTTGGTCCTGGATGCCTAAGCATATGTGCCAGGTGTTTCTTTTTTTTGTGTGCTTCTGGGCTTGGATCAGCAAACCACCTCTATTCCAGAAGGCTCCTGTTTGCATTCTCAGCCTCTCCTCCACTGCACCACTTTGTTCTCTCACTATTTCTCAGCCCATCTCTTTAAGGTGTTCTTAGTGGACAGCAGGCACATCTAATCCCTTCTTGTTGGGCCAGGTATGTGGGAAGGTCTTTTTTTCCTGTAGAAAATCAGGAAGCCTGTGAGGAGGAAAACAGTCTGTTATGATTAGAAAGCAGGCAACAAACAAGAAGGCAGAGGCCTTCTGGGCAGAGTTACTCCAGGGAGTTGCTACAAGCCACAGACCCACTGTGATGTTGCTCTTTATTTAGAATCATAGAATCACAGAAGCATTTATGTTGGAAAGGACCTTTAAGATCATCAAGTCCAACCATTAACTTAGCACTGCCAAGTCCACCACTAACCCATGTCCCTAAGCACCACATCTACAGTTTCTGCACAGGCACCACTGTATGTTTCTCTGTTCTTGTCAGAGTAGACAATAATCAGGCTGTATTTTACTCCTTCCACAACATATCTTTAGGGCTTCATTTGCTATTAACCCTCTGCAGAAGGGCAAAGAGTGCACACCCATCTCAGCACGCGTACAGGAAAGGCACATCCAGCATCCCAGCCCTGAGGACGACTGCAGGCAGGAAAGCCAGGAGCACCAGAAACCCTAAATTTTCCTTCCCATAATGGAA